AATATTGTCTGACAGCATGATCAGGCAAACATTTTCTAAAGACGTAGGTTTCATTCTAGTCATGCAAGTTCTACCAGGGGCTATTTAACCCAAATTGCTGTGCATCATCTGAAAATTAACTCCTAGTTCAACCAGGTGCTGGAGGATTGAGCAAAGGAAGCTTAGGGCACACCTTCTACCCTGGAATAAATTTCGCCCTAACAGAATGATGATGAACAAGGATTTACATTAGGCAACATGTCTATAGCTATGACAGCTGAAGTGAAAAAAGGTCTTAAAGTAGCAAAAAGTAATACGCAAATTCATTGCCTACAGCAAACATGACCTTCAAGAGCCATGATTTCTATGGCCACATCTCCAATTACCAGAGGATTGATGCTCTGGCAATCGAACTGCCAGGGTTTGATTTAGCAGGTCTAGTAAAGACCACTAAATTGAACACTGAGGGTGCCTTCGTCAGAGCTAGTGTTCCTCGCTGTGGAGACGGTGCCAAGCTCAGCTTAAAATATGTCAATTCCAGCTGACTTTCCAGGTGAAGCATAGACCTGGCCTATGAATGCACTGCTTGGCAATTTGAGAACTTTCTAATCCGATCCATATATTAGGTCTTGCATCTGAACCATTTATCTCAGTGCTGTATTGTATGACCTTTCCATACGGTTACATTACCTTCTTTCAGTGTTTTATTTTCTTCCGGAAAGATGCTAAGACTTGCTTAAGTAACTGAAGTTGAGTACAACAAATATTTTATTCTGCCACTTGAAAAACATACATAATTTGGGCTTAACTTTGCAAGGTGCTGAGCTTCTTCAGCTCCCATTGAAGCCAATGGGAGACAACAGTATTCAACACTTGGCATATTTGGATCCTTTGTTACTAAAATTTAACACTGAAGCGATAAAGATACAGAAAATCATTTCAAGTTTCTTTCCAACACTGACACTAGCAGCCAAAGTATTTGAAGAATCTGACCCCCTGCTGGCACTGTATAATGAACTAAGTATCCATTCATCATCTTCCCCTCTACACCAGTCCACCAAATAAAGAGATGTAGGAAGTTTGGTGCAGCTGTACGTACCAACAAAACTGTTGCATTTTACTTCTCTCCCCTATTCCCTCCGAAATTTCCATCTGCAGGATTTATGGCAATAAATATTATGACATAGAAGTAAACAGTACAATTTCAAGTATGTAATATGAATGTGAAAAAAAAATCAATAATAAAAATTCCTACAGGATTTACGTAATTGGACATATTAAAAAGACACAAAGTGATGACAATTTGCATAATTTCTACCTATCACAATCAACTCTATATTATCAAGGAAGCTGAAAAATACTTCTAAAATTATTATCATATACATTTTTATTAGTTTTGATATCAGCAAAAATATAAACTGTTACATTCATTCGGTCAGATCCTGCTTACCTTACCTACATGACTAGTCTCATTGGTGTTAACTCCTGTGCAGTGTACGTAGGATTTTATAGAATCACAGAATACTAGGGCTGGAAGAGACCTCAAGAGGTCTTCGAGTCCAGCCCCCTGCCAACACAGGACCAACCCTAACTAATCATCCCTGCCAGGACTTTGTCAAGCCGGGACTTAACCTCTAGAGATGGAGATTCCACCACCTCCCTGGGTAGCCCATTCCAGTGCTTCAGCACCCTCCTAATGAAATAGTTTTTCCTAATATCCAACCTAGACCTCCCCTACTGTAACTTGAGACCATTGCTCCTTGTTCTGCCATCTGCCACTACTGAGAACAGCCTCTCTCCATCCTCTCTGGAATCTCCCTTCAGGAAGTTGAAGGCTGCATTCCCCTTCACTCTTCTCTTCTTCAGACTAAATAAACTCAAATCCCTCAGCCTCTCATCATGTGCTTCAGCCTCCTAATCATTTTGGTTGCCCTCCACTGGACTCTCTCCAGTGCGTCCACATCCTTACTATAATGGGGGGGAGGGCCCAGAACTGGTCACAATACTCCAGATGTGGCCTCACCAGTGCTGAATAAAGGGGGAAAATTACTTCTCTAGATCTGCTGGAAATGCTCCTCCTAATGCAACCTAATATGCCATTAGCCTTCTTGGCTACAAGGACACACTGTTCACTCATACCCAGCTTCTCATCCACTATAATTCCCCGGTCCTTTTCTGCACAACTGCTACTTAGCCAGTCCATCCCCAGCCTGTAACAATGTTTGGGATTCTTCCACCCCAAGTGCAGGACTCTGCACTTGTCCTTGTTGAACCTCATCAGATTTCTTTTGGCCCAATCCTCTAATTTGTCTAGGTCACTGTGGACCCTCCAATCTACCTCTCCCACTAACTCAGTGTCATCCCCAAACTTGCTGAGGTGCAATCCATTCCCCCACCCAGGTCATTAATAAAGATGTTGAACAAAACCTGTCCTAGAGCCAATCCTTGGGGCCCTCTGTTTGAACCCGACCGCCAACCAACATCGAGCCGTTGATCACCACCCATTGGGCCTCACAATTTAGCCAGCTTTCTATCCATCTTGTAGTCCATTTATCCACCCATACTTCCTTAACATGCTGGCAAAAATATCGTGGGAGACCATATCAAAAGCTTTGCTAAAGTCAAGGTATATCACATCCACTGACTTCCCCATGTCCACAGAGCCAGTTGCCTCATCACAGAAACTAATCAGATTGGTCAGGCATGACTTGCCCTTGGTGAATCCATGTTGGCTAATCCTGATCATATCCCCCTCTTTCAAGTGCTTCAAAATGGATTCCTCGAGGAGCCCCTTCATGATTTTTCTAAGGACTGAGGTAAGGGTGACTGGTCTGTAATCCCCTGGAGTGTCGTCCTTCCCTTTTTTAAAGATGGGCACTACATTTGCCTTTTTCCAGTCATCCGGGATCTCTCCTGATCTCCATGAGTTTTCAAAGAAAATGGCCAACGGCTCTGCAATGGCGTTTGACAACTCCCTCAGTACTCTTGGATGCATTAAATCCAGACCCATGGATTTGTGCATGTCTAGCTTTTCTAAATAGTTCTTAACCTGTTCCTTCTTCACCGAAGCTGCCCATCTCCTTCCCATACTGCGTTGCCTAGCACAGTACTCTGGAAGCTGACCTTGTCTGTGAAGACAGAGGCAAAAAAAAGCATTGAGTACTTCAGCTTTTCCCCACATCATCTGTCACTAGGTTACCTCCCT